GAAAGTATGGTAGCAACAGTGCTTCTGAGCATTTCAACAATATTTCACATATCAAAAAACACCAGCACCTTAGGACCACTTTAGTCCTTTAGTCAGTACTGAAAAAGCAAGCTGCAGCTGTGAATTCTTTTTCTCCATCATTAAGTTAAACTATTTGCACATCATATATAAAAATCCCTAATTTCCATGAAAAATTATTCAAAATAGAAAGATAATAGAAAAAAAAAGACACTTCAAAGACTTTTTGCTTATCAAATTTCATTATAATCTATTTTAGTCGTCAAGTGTTTGCCAGAGTTAAATGTCAGAGTTAAAGCCATTATACTAATGAACCCTACAGTTTGAAGACATACATATTTTTTCATTATTAGATCACCCTGGAGGACCGAAAGCATAAAAGGCGGACAAAGATACTAGACAGCAGCGGCAGACCTTAAGCAAAACTGTCACTAAGGCTCTCTGTGGGCTCAATTATCCCTCATTTGAACAGAAGCAGAAAGACCCCAATTAGTGGTCTAACTTGACACTTGTGTTTGTCAGAGGGGCTTCAGCCTGGAAACTCAGTATGAGAAGATTTTTGCTTCTAAGCCAAAAGGATGACTGTGTCAAAAGTCTAAATGTGATGGAGTGAGGACAATGGTTCCCCTGAAGCTTGTTTCACTGAAATCAATGCAGAGGACACCTTACTTGTCTTCTGCCTTGTCATTGCTCACCACTTTAATTTCCTCTTCCACGGGCAACAGGAAAACACACACACATACTGCATGCAAACTACACACACAAACAACCTGCATTGTTATGAGCTTCAGGTTTTTATTACTGCCCATGTTTTGTGACTCTAATTTCCTTTGAGAACTCTATGATTTGCTTCTTAGCTAAATTCTTGTAAGCTAACATACAAAGGCACTGACAGCAGCAATGCTGTCATAATAACTTCTTTATGGAATAATCAAAATGTTATTACGTCCAAATGTCAAGATGGAAAAGCAATGGGCAGATGTGGAAACAACTTATCAAAGCATAAACAGTGAAAATAGGTTGTATTTCAACCTAATTGTTACCTGAATCAACAGCATGCAGGCTGCAAGTCAATGATTTACATCCACAGCAGGTTTGTAGTCGATGTCTATATTTCTGCAGAACACTAGAGACCTCTGCTGGCCAGTAAAGATGTGGTTGGGGAAATTGTGCCAAGTAATGATGTAATTTTCCAGATTTATAAACAAAGGCAACAGTAGACTTGGCCTTAGAAAAGTAGGCCACCCCAAGCCTGTCCAGAACTGAGCTGAGTATGACGAGGGTAACACATAATTTCTTAGGAAATACCAGGTGATATGCTAAATCTTTTGCAGGATAACCATTTCAGTATGTTACAGATGGAAAGACGCAGGTTTAAATTAGATTAACGAAGACTGAGTGACGTTTACCTGCTTCACTCCTTTAAAATCCTGCTATTTGTGGTTGCTGATTTACTGTCATGACTTACCACTTCATCACTGTTAATGTGTGTTTACACACATACACATTCAGAAGTGGTGGCACATTGGTGCAGTGGTTAGCACTATCACCTCACTCCAAAGGGGATCTGGGTTTGAATCTGCTGGCTGATTCCTTTCGGTGTGGATGTTTGCATGTTCTCTGGATTTCTCCAACAATCTAAAATAATTGCTTGTAAATGTCTGTCTATAATATAGACAGACATTTATTATAAGTATATTATTGTTTTATTGACTTATTTATTTATTTGTTACAGTTTTTTCTTAACTCTCTTGTATGAGAGCTTCAAATATGTTGTCAAAGGTGTAATAATGATTTACTCTGTGATAAAATACATGATGTTGCTCATAGTGCAAGCAGTAGACTGTGCAGTCTGTTTTAAGTCTAAATATAAGCTAGGTGACGTTTTCTTTTTGCCTCCCTGTATAGTTAACACTGTGTTTGGTAAACTTTAATCACAGTAATTTAAGATATTTTCCCACATAAATAAGCTGGTTGCTTCATTTAATTATTATATCAGACAAATTAAAGTGTTGATGTTGAATTTAGTCTAAACCATGCTGGCTTAGCAGAAGAAACCTCCACCTCTGCCTTAGATTAAAATTACTTTGAGTTTTATATAATTTCTCATGGTTAGACCACTTAAAGTACATCTTAAAATTATTT